TTCTATAACCTCTTCAGCCGAAAGGGTTGAAGAAAAAATGCTTTTAAAAGCCTCTGACGATCCCAGCTGAGCCGTGCGATCATCAGAGGCTTTTTTTTTTAACTTTTAAAGCATTTTTCTATAACCTCTTCAGCCAAAAGGGTTGAAGAAAAAATGCTTTTAAAAGCCTCTGACGATCCCAGCTGAGCCGTGCGATCATCAGAGGCTTTTTTTTAACTTTTAAAAGCATTTTTTCTATAACCTCTTCAGCCGAAAGGGTCGAAAAAAATGCTTTTAAAAGCCTCTGACGATCCCAGCTGAGCCGTGCGATCATCAGAGGGTTTTTTTTTTTTTTTTTTTTGTTTTTTTTTTTACTTTAAGAGCATTTTTTCGGCTGAAGAGGTTGTAAAAAAAATGCTTTTAAAATAATTTAAAAAGCCTCTCATGATTGTGCGGCTCAGCTTGGCAATGGGGGGGTGGTGTGGTCAGGGATTTTTGCTACCGGTTCTCCGAACCACCCACCTCCATCGCTACCGGATCGGGTGATCCGGTCCGAACCGGGAGCATTTCACCCCTGGGTAATGGAGGGAAAACCTCTTCTGTGTCCAGGAGAAGAACATTTTCAGGAAGAACCAGAGATGCAGGATTTGGGCGTGCCTAGTCTACAGAAGAGAAGGAGTAGAGTTGACCTGATAGCAGTCTTCCAGTATTTGAGGCTGCCACAACGGAAGAGGGATCAACTTATTTGCCAAAGCACCAGAACAAGAAACAATGGATGAAAAGCAATAGTGGATGCAAATCCCGTCACTAACCGGTTCGCTAGTGGGTGTGTGACCACTCGCGCACGCACACAATACACTTCTTTGCATGCTCAAAGCTTCTGCGCATGTGCAGAGACGTCCAGGCGGGTGGGCGGAGCCCGATTCGGAGCGAACCGGTACCAACCCACCACTGATGAAAACTAATCAAGGAGAGAAGCAACCTAGAACTAAGGAGAAACTTCCTAACAGTGAGGACAATTAACCAGTGGAACGACTTGCCTCCAGAAGTTGTGAATGCTCCAACACTGGAAGTTTTTAAAGAAGAGATTGGACAGCCACTTGTCTGAAAAGATGTAGGGTCTCCTGTTTGAACAGAGGGGTGGATTAGAAGACTAGAAGATCTTGTCCAGGGGGCTCCCCCAGAGAGGAGGAAGGGGGACAGGCTATTCTCCAAAGCACCCGAAGGCCAGACAAGGAATAACGGATGGAAACTGATCAAGGAGAGATTCAACCTGGAAATAAGGAGAAATTTTCTGAAGTGAGAGCAATTTTTTTTTAAAAAAAAAATTTGATTTATATGCCGCCCTTCTCCGGAGACTCAGGGCGGCTTACAATGTGCTCAGCAATAGCCTTCATCCTTTTGTATATTTTATGCAAAGTCAGCTTATTGCCCCCACAAACTGGGTCCTCAATTTACCTACCTTAGAAAGGATGGAAGGCTGAGTCAACCTTGAGCCTTGGCGAGATTCGAACCTGCAGTAATTGCAGGCAGCTGGTCTTAATAACCAGCTTAATAACAGGGTGCCTTAGACCACTGTACTACCAAGGCTCAATCAAATCATGGAACAGAAGAGCTTCATCACTTGAGACTTACAAGAAGAGATTGAACTGCCATTTGTCAGAAATGGCGTAGGGTCTCCTGCTTGGGCTGGGGGGGGGTCAGACTAGATGACCTACAAGGTCCCTTCCCACTCTGTATAATCTGCAATCTGTAAACCTCCCTTCCAGCTCTATTCTGATAGCCCCATAAAATGCCTTTGGTGATTCTGCGCCCGACCTTCTTGCTGGATTGACTCACCCCGCCTTCGCAAATGAGTTAAATTCCACCGTCCTTGGCTGGTTTTTAATTTAAACACGAATTTCGCCACCTCCGAGCGGACGTCGGTTTATTTTTGTTTTTTGTTTTTTTTATTTTTCGAAGGGGGGGAAAAAAGTGACATTTCTCCCCTTCTCCACAAGCAGACCTAATGAAGCCGTATTAACTTGAGCAGTAGATAAAGATTGGTAAATAAGACCCCCATTAAAAAATACTTCGCAGGCAAGCATGATGGGTCCCAGTAGCCTCTCTAATGTCCGTTAATGGTTATTCGGAGGATCAGAAAGCTCATTTTCCTGAGCCATTAAGTCAAACTGTGCGATTATTTAGAAAGTTAATTCATGCATGCTCGAAATCAGGCTTAAGTAATGCGGAGGGTAGGAGGTAAAAACTCGGCGGAGAGGATCCTTTCGTCCTTTTTGTTATTTAACCATCAGCCGTAATTAACTTGCAAATTTGAAATAATTAGAACAAATTAAAGGTATTTAACTTCGCCTCCCTGAAGAAAAATTCAAATTGCGCCAAATGCAGTTTTAAATTATTCAAGTCTCCGAGGTCTCTGCTGGGTTTTTTTTTTTTTTCTCTTCCTCAAACCCCCCCCCCTTCCCTCCCTCCCTGCCGCCACACACCCCCTCCCCATATAATGCATTTATTTTATTTTTTCTATGACAGGAATACCAATCTGCTTTTTGTCAGAGAAGGCTTCCCATCAAGTAATTGTTCTTTGTGTCTAATAAATGACAGCTATTCTTCTCAGTTAAAAGAAAAAAAAGAGAAGGAAGTATTTTAGTCTCTGAAGGCTACATCGGCATTGCCGTGGCATTTTAATTCAATAAAACAAAAGGTTAACTTCCATCTCTCTCTCTCTCTCTCTCTCTCTCTCTCTCTCTCTCTCTCTCTCTCTCTTCTCTCTTCTCTTTCTCTCCTCTCTTCTCTCTCTTCTCTCTTCTCTTTTCTCTCTTCTCTTCTTCTCTCTTCTCTCTTCTCTCTCTTCTCTCTTCTCTCTTCTCTCTTCTCTCTTCTCTCTTCTCTTTTCTCTCCTATCCTTTCTTATCTTCGCCCCCCACCCCATCCCACCTCCTTATTTTGTTCTAAGGAACAATCTTAGCAAGAGAGGGTCCTGAATGACATTTTTTTAAAAAAAACAATTTGCCATTCTGTCTCCTCAGCCAGGCCTGGTTTATAAAAGCATCAAAGGAAATCATAACATTGAGCGGTTCATTTGGGCAAAATTTTAGATAAAGCGTGTGGGGTAACTGACAATGAAATTCTCTTTTTTTTCTCTCTCCCGTAGGTGCTTTTTTTCAAGAGGCAACTGGGCTTTCTGGTTTTTCTTTGAAGACGTTTCTCTTCTCATCCAAGGAGCTTCTTCAGCTCTGACTGGATGGTGGGGAATGGAAGGATTTATATTCCTTGCAGACAGCTGGTCCTTTGCATCCTTTTTAGAAAGTCGTTGAGGCCCCTTGGAGGTTTATCGGTGTCCTCAGGGTCACCTGAGTGGTGCAAATGGTTCCCGTAGTCATTTCCAGAACGAATTTCCAGAAAAATTGCAGAGTACAGAAACCATTTGCACTACTCAGGTGACCCTGAGGACACCGATAAACCTCCAAGCGGCCTCAACGATTCTCTTAACAGAATGCAAATGACCAGCTGTCTTCCATTCCTCACCGTCTAGTCAGAGCTGAAGAAACTTCTTGGATGAGAAGTGAAATGTCTTCAAAGAGAAACCAGAAAGTCCAGTTGTCTCCTGAAAAAAAGCACATGAGGGACAACCATGACTTGGATGTCTGAGAATCTGCATAGTCTCTTTTTCTCTCTCTTTTTTGTTTCTATTTTCTGTACCAATAGTCTTCAAGCAGTTCATTTAGTGACCGTTCAGACATTTCATGACCCAACTAGGTAACATCATCAGCACTAGAAGGGATGACAGTTTGCAGAGTGGAGGAAGTGGGGAAGAGGAGGGAGGGATTCTTAGTGATCTTTGAGGTTGGTTGTTTTATTTCAGCGTTTTCATGACCCAACTAGGTAACATCATCAGGGCTAGAAGGGAGCAGGATTTAAGAGGAGGAGGAGGAGGACTGTGGGGTCCTCTGAGCTTGGTGGTTTTCTTTTTTTTCTTTCCGACCATTCCCTTCTAGCCCTGATGATGTTACCTAGTGGGGTCATGAAACGTCTGCAAGAAAACCACCATTCTCAGAGAGCAACAGGGACCCCACAGTCGTCCTCCTCCTCCTCTCCACAAACCCCACTCGCTTCTAGCCCTGATGATGTTACCTAGTTGGGTCATGAAATGTCTGCAAGAAAACAACCAGTCTCAGAACCCCACAGTCGCCGTCCTCCTCCTCCTCCTCCTCTCCGCAAATCCCACTTCTAGCACTGATGATGTTACCTAGTTGGGTCATGAAACGTCTGCAAGAAAACCACCAAGCTCAGAGAGAACCACAGCTGTTTCGTGTCTGTGTATATGTCCACTTGTGGTGCTGGTAGTCAATACTCTGCAACCGATGGGAAGGATAGTCTTGGCCAACATGTACCCCCAAATTGTCACCGCCATGGGGAGGCATCCTCCCTCATCCTTGCCAACCTCTTTCTCTCTCTCTCTCTCTCTCTCTCTGTGCTTTACGTCTTAAAACTCTGCAGGGTTGCTGCTCTTGAAATCCACATCTTTTTTTCATCTTTTTCTTTCCTAACTGCTTGCTCCTTCTGGTTTTAGCTGACATTAAGAGCTGAAGAGTCAAGAGACCCCAAGGCCTTGTTAGCAGAGCTTGTTATGCTGTAGAGTGGGGTTTTTTTTTCCTTCATTCCAGATCCATCTTAAAATTAGCAAACCCCCCCCCCCCCCCCCATTTCTGCCATTTGGAGGGCTATTCAGCCTTGCGTGCCATGTTGCATCCCAGGGGTAACCAAGCCCCATTGAGAGAAGTCATTGGAAAGCCTTCCTTCCCCCAACCCCTAATTTTAGCCAGTCAAATGTCAGCCTCTTCACAAAACTTTCTCGTTAAAATAACTATTTGCCCCCCCCCTCCAGCAATTATGACTGAGGACTTAGCTGTGTTCTACTTTGATATTAACACAGGTTGAAGGTTGAAGACGAGCACCTTAAAAAAAAAAAATAGGCACCTCTAATCCACTCTCTCTTCTTTTCCTTTTTCTTTCTCTTCCAGTTCCCCCAAGATGGACTGCGAAGGCTGCCTTTTGAGGACACCCTCCAGGAGAAGCTTCAGAGCACCAGAAGGCAACGAAAGGGTTGATTCGGGGATGAAGAGCATGGGCTTCAGTAGTGACGCAGACGGCCCCACTCTTTGGGACAGCACGAAGAAGGAGCCCGTCAGGTCCAAACGAGGTGAGACATCTTTTACTTTTACATATTATTTGTCAGAGAGACTGATGTGCCCAAAGGTGTTTTTTTCAGGAGGCAACTGGACTTTCTGCTTTTTTTTTCTTTGAAGATGTTTCGCTTCTCATCCAAGAAGCTTCTTCAGCTCTGATTGTGTGATGGGGAATGGAAGGGTTGATACTTCTTGCAGACAGCTGGTCCTTTGCATCCTTTTAGAGGGTCGTTGAGGCCCCTTGGAGGTTTATCTGTGTCCTCAGGGTTACCTGAGTGGTGCAAATGGTTCCTGCAGTCTGTCATTTTTTTCCTCTGGAAATCCATTCACTACTCAGGTAGACCCTGAGGACACAGATAAACCTCCAAGGGGCCTCAATGGCCCTCTAAAAGGATGCAAATGATCAGCTGTCTGCAAGGAGATAAATCCTTCCATTTCCCACCATCTAGTCAGAGCTGAAGAAGCTTCTTAGATGAGAAGCGAAACGTCTTCAAAAGAAAAAAACAAAGTTGCCTCCAGGAAAGGCACCTTTGAGACAACCATGACCTGGAGGACTGAGAATCTCCATAGACATAGACTGATGTGGCTGCCCAACTCACACTTGGTGACTCCAGGCAGTGTGCAGACTTCAAAATCGACACATAAAACCCCCCAAAAGCTGCAACCTACCCCATGGTGGCAGCAAACACAATCGTGATGATGATGTGACCCATTCAGTCGTGTCCGACTCGTGGTGATTCTCTGGGCCAGGTCTCTCCACCTCTTCCAATCTTGCACTGCTTCTTTGAGTTGTTCTATGCTCTGGCTGGTGTCAGCTTTGATGCTGTCCAGCCACCGTATCCTCTGGCAGCCTGGTTTCCTTTTAGCGCTAATTCTTCCAAGCAGAATTGCTTTCTCCAGTGAATTCCTCCATGTGATGGGGCCAAAGGAAGTGAGGCAAACACACTGATACAAGATACAGTGGTACCTTGGTATTCGTCATTAATTGCTTCTGAGAGGCAGGATGAGTAACAACAAAGTTGGCATCTATTGGTTTTTTAATTTTAATAGTTGAGGGCAATGGACAGTTTAAATATGTGAGAGAGAGAGAGAGAGAGAGAGAGAGAGATGATAGATGAGAGAGAGATAATAATAATAATAATAATAATAATAATAATAATAATAATAATAATAATAATTTTATTTCTATACCGCCCTTCTCCCGAAGGACTCAGGGTGGTGTACAGCCTAATTAAAAGCACAAAGACAGACAAAATTTAAAAATAATTAAAATTATTAAATAAATGGCTCAATTATAAAACCCCCAAATTTAAAATCCCACATTTAAAATCAATTAAAATCTTTACATTGATAGCCCGGACTGGCGGAACAACAAGGTTTTGAGATGATGGATAGATTGATAGAGAGATGATAGAGAGAGATAGAGAGATGATAGATAGATGATAGAGAGAGAAGTGATAGATAAATAGCTAGATGATAGAGAGCGAGATGATAGATAGAGAGATGATAGATGATAGATAGATAGAGATGATAAATTAGAGAGATAGATAGAGATAGATGATAGATAGATAGATAGATAGATAGATAGATAGATAGATAGATAGATAGATAGATAGATATAGAGAGAGAGAGATGATAGAGAGATGATAGATAGGTAGATGATAGGTAGATAGATGATAGAGAGAGAGTAATAGATAGATGATAGATGATAGAGATGATAGAGACAGAGAGAGATGATAGATAAATAGATGATAGAGATGACAGATAAAGAGATAGAGAGATAAAGATATAGATGATAAAGAGAGAGACGATAGATAGAGATGATAGATAGACAGACAGACAGACAGACAGACAGACAGACAGACAGATAGATAGATAGATAGATAGATAGATAGAGAGGAGAGAGAGAGAGAGAGAGAAAAGATAGATGGATGGGATGATGATGATGAAGAGGAAGGAGAGAGGAAGATGGGGAGAGAGAGAATATCTCAACAAAAAGCACCGATGAGTCCATTCCTTGTGTCCAAGTCTCTTTTTTTTTTTTTGCGTTCTTTAAAGCAAATACAAATACAAAACGGCTCGCCCTAGATGAGAGCATCAGCCAGCAGGATATGTTTACGTATTTTTCTGCATTCCCTGCTGTCTTAAATGCGTTAAACACTTTTATGTAGCAGTACAACTCTTGCTGGTTTTGCCGTTATTTATAATTCATTACACCCTTCCAACGTTTTCAATTTATTACTTATTTAGTACTTTCTCTGTATGTCCGTGGGCGCTCGCACATGTGTGCACGCCTCGGAGATCCAGCAGGTATTTCTATCTGATCAATAATCTGGACTATTAAAATCACAGCCTTTGTGAGCAATTCATTCTTCCCCTTGCAAACTCCATTTTCCAGTCTGTTTCCCCTTTAATCTCAGTCTAATTGCCTTCAGTTCAGACCTACCTAATTGCAATTTAAATCTTGTGGAAGTGGCCCTTTTATTTTATTTCATTTGGCACCCACGCATGTAGTCCTCGAGTTACGTCCGCGACTGAGCCCAAAGTGTCTGTTGCTAATTGAGACCTTTGTTAAGTGAGAGTTGCCCCGATTTGTGACCTATCTTGCCACCGTTTTTAATTGAATCACTGCAGTGGTTAAGTTGGTGACAGGCCTGTTAAGTGAGTCTGGCTTCCCCACTGATTTTGCTTGTCAGAAGGTCGCAAACGCGGATCACGTGACCCCGGGTCGTTGCAACTGTCATAAATATGAGTCAGTTGCCAAGGGTCTGAATTTTGATCATGTGACCACGGTGATTGCCATGTCCCTGAATCTGCGGGGGAAAATGAGCTGGAACCTGAGCCGACATAGATTGAGGGGGTGGCTTCGGGAGGAAAATGGGGAAGGGCAGGGCCAGTCAGGCCAAGGCATTTCAGGCTTAGGACGGCTTGTAGACAGGGAGGAACAGAGGCAAGAGGAACATGAGAGACAGAGCTCAGGCGATGAGCAAGGACCACTCACTCCTGATCCGAGAGCATGGAGAGTGGAGAGCAGGCGAGAACAGTGCAGACTGAGCAGGCTACTCGGGAGGAGAACACCCCCACCCTCGGTCCTCCAGGTCCTGGTTGTCCCAAAGTTGCTTTTTTTTTTCAAGAGGCAACTGGAGTTTCATGTTTTTCTTTGAAGACGTTTCGCTTCTCCTCCAAGAAGCTTCTTCAGCTCTGACTGGATGGTGGAGGATGGAAGGGTTTATATTCCTTGCAGACAGCTGGTCATTTGCATCCTTTTTAGAAAGTCGTTGAGGCCACTTGGAGGTTTGTCTGTGTCCTCAAGCTGCTTTTTCAAGGGGCAACTGGACTTCCTGCTTTTTCTTTGAAGACGTTTCGCTTCTCATCCAAGAAGCTTCTTCAGCTCTGACTGGATGGTGGAGGATGGAAGGGTTTAACAAACCTCCAAGTGGCCTCAACGACTCTCTAAAAAGAACGCAAATGACCAGCTGTCTGCAAAGACTATAAAATCCTTCCATTTCTCTCCCCACCCCACCACATCCAGCCAGAGCTGAAGAAGCTTCTTGGAGGAGAAATGAAACATCTGGAAATAGCACCTTTTGGATAGAGTCACGAAAGGAGTGGTTGTAAATCAAGGACTACCACGTACTTAGAAAGCAGAAGAAAAAATGAGGAGAATGAAACATAATTTTCTAGCGGAAAGAACCTGTTCCAGAATTGAATTTTTACAGTGCAATTTTTTTGTAAACGTCCCCCAAATTCCCCCAAATCCTAATCTCGGGGAAAACAGCATCTTCTAAGCCACCGATATCTTAACGGCAAATGTTTTTTTCCTGCTTTTGTGGCTCAACAGTTCCACGAACAAAGCAAAAGTACTTTTTTCTCCTGCAAGTGAAAATACACAAAGCCGAGGAATTTTGGGCTTTGCTGAAAATCCTCACCTAATCTTTGGGTCACTCAGAAACTGCTTTGTTCCTTCCTTCCTTCCTTCCTTCTTTCCTTCCTTCCTTCCTTCCTGCCTGCTGCCTGCCTGCCTGCCTTCCCTTCCCTTCCCTTCCCTTCCTTCCTTCCTTCCTTTCTTTCCTTTCTTTCCTTCTTTCTTTTTTTCTTTGATATTTTCACACTCTGCCCTTTCCTTTTTCTCTCCTCTTAAACTCGTCAACCGGTTTGCAATGGGTAGGCTTCAGTTAAGCCTACCAAGAAAAGGAACAAACCCATTGCCATATTGGATAAGGAACATATTTTATTTTATTTTATTTTGAAAAAAAAAGGGAGAGAGAGAGAGATGCTTTTGCTGCAAAGAAACTTTGGAAAGGGGTCATCAGAGGGCTCCCCAAACCGAGCGGGGAAGGTTAATCTCTCGCAAAGCTCGGCTACGAAAGTTGGAAAGCCGGCAAAAGGCCTGGTGTCCAAAAGAAATCAATTTCTAATTTGAAACAAAATCATTTTTGACTAACAGGAGTTCAGGATCCATTACTTGTGCTCTCTTCTCGGCTGACATTTCGGCTCTTTTCTGGAGCGCGCCGTGAATTCTAATAGTCGCCTCATAACGTCGCTCCACGCAATCAATTCAAGCTGGAGAAAGAAAGCCGGTGCCATCCGTGAAGTTTTCAGGGGCAATTTTCACTGTGGGTTGTTTTTTTGTTTCTTTTTTCCCCTTTATCTTTCTTTTCTAAAGCTGTCGTCATCTTCTTCTTCTTCTTCTTCTCCTTCTCCTTCTCCTTCTCCTTCTCCTTCTCCTTCTCCTTCTCCTTCTCCTTCTCCTTCTCCTTCTTCTTCTTCTTCTTCTTCTCTTCCTCCTCCTCCTCCTCTTCCTCCCATCTCACCCCTCCTCCTCTCCACAACCCCCCTCCCTTCTATCACTAATGATGTTAGCTAGTTGGGTCATGAAACGTCTGCAAGAAAACCACCAAGCTCAGAGAGCACCAAGGACCCCACAATTATTTCTTCTTCTTCTTCTTCTTCTTCTTCTTCTTCTTCTTCTTCTTCTTCTTCTTCCTCTTCTTCTTCTTCTTCTTCTTCTTCTTCTTCTTCTTCTTCTTCTTCTTCTTCTTCTTCTTCTTCTTCTTCTTCTTCCTCCTCTTCCTCCCATCTCACCCCTCCTCCTCTCCACAACCCCCCTCCCTTCTATCACTAATGATGTTAGCTAGTTGGGTCATGAAACATCTGCAAGAAAACCACCAAGCTCAGAGAGCACCAAGGACCCCACATCTTTCTTCTTCTTCTTCTTCTTCTTCTTCTTCTTCTTCTTCTTCTTCTTCTTCTTCTTCTTCTTTCTTCTTGTCGTCTTCTTCTTCTTCTTCTTCTTCTTCTTCTTCTTCTTCTTCTTCTTCTTCTTCTTCTTCTCCTTCTCCTTCTCCTTCTCCTTCTCCTCCTCCTTCCCCTCCTCCTTCCCCTTCTCCACCTCTCTGCAAACCACACGTCTTTGTAGCACTGATGAAGTTACCTAGTGAAACGTCTGCAAGAAAACCACCAAGCTCAGAGAGCATCGAGGACTCCGACTCCTCCCCTTCCTTCTCTCCTTCATTCCTTCTCCTCCTTTTTCTCCTCCTTCTCCTTCCCCCTCCTTCTCCTCTTCCTTCTGCTCTTCCTTCCCCTTCCTGTTCCCCTTCCCTTCCTCCTCCTCTTCTCCCCCCCCCCTCCTGCAAGTACCATGGATGAGGCTTGCCACCCTCCATTGTTTCGTGAGTTCTTCCTTGTGAATTAAATATCTGAAAAATAGTCTGACCTCCCTGCCCAGTTCTCCTCTTCCCCTTTTATTGTCCACTCCCTCTTTCAGAGCCGTTTGCTAGGAAAATTATAGAAAATTATAGGTAAGTGGAAGGCTACCCTATACAACATTGTGATTTGTTGATAGCATGACAAAGGTTTGAAAATTTGATAAATAAAAATGAACGAACGAACGAATGAATAAATGCTAAATCTGAATACCAAATCAAAACTTGCTATGTTTACCCGAGGGGTCTGCCAGACAGGTTAAAAACATGTGAAGATGGCAACCACAAAGATGTGACAGAAGCCCTGGCCTCTCTTTAATATGGGTTGCATATATCAAAATTCAGACGCTTGGCAACTGACTCGTACTTCTGACTGTTGTAATGTCCCTGGGTCATGTGATCCCCTTTTGTGACTTTCTGACCAGCAAAGTCAATGAGGAAGCCAGATTCCCTTAACATCTGTACGACTGACTTGATAACTGCAGTGATTCGCTTAACGACGGTGGCAAGAAAGGTCGTAAAATGGACAAATAAAACTTCTATTCCACTTCTACTCTATTCTTCTACTACTTCTAGTTACTTCTACTTCTACTTCTATTCTACTTCTACTCTATTCTTCTACTTCTAATTAGTTCTACTTCTACTTCTATTCTACTTCTCTTTCTACTATTCTACTTCTACTTCTAGTCTACTTCTATTTCTAGTCTTCTGCTTTCTACTCCTTCTACTTCTATTGAACTTCTAGTCTATCTACTTCTAGTCTACTTCTAGTCTACTGCATTCTACTCCTGTTCTACTTCAACTTCTACTTCTACTCTATTCTACTTCTATTCTATTCTACTTCCGGAGTCTAGTCTATTTCTACTTCTAGTCTATTCTACTTCTAAATTCTATTCTACTTCTACTCTATTCTTCTGCTACTTCTAGTTACTTCTACTTCTACTTTCTACTTCTAGTCTACTTCTAGTCTACAGCTTTCTATTCTACTTCTATTCTATTCTACTACCGTAGTCTAGTCTATTTCTACTTCTACTCTATTCTTCTGCTATCTCTAGTTACTTCTACTTCTATTCTACTTCTACTTCTATTCTACTTCTACTTTCTACTTCTATTCTACTTCTACCCTATTCTTCTGCTACTTCTAGTTACTTCTACTATTCTACTTCTACTTTCTACTTCTATTCTACTTCTAGTCTATTCTACTTCTATTTCTACTTCTATTTCTATTTCTATTGAACTTCTACTTCTAGTCTATTCTACTTCTATTCTTCTTCTACTCCTACTTCTATTCTACCATACTATATATTTCATCCCTTCCCTGTCACTGGGAAGAACTTAGCCTGCTGATTCGCCGTATCTAAAGCTCCCTGGAGAACAGCACGCTGCGTGGGCCCACTGTTAAAAACCAGACAAAGCAAGAAAATGTTCCCCCTCTTTCCACAGGGACGTCTGGGAAGGATTCCGCCACGTCTCCTGGAGTGACAGCCGTCAAGAAGGAGCTTGTGACTGCAGCCACCTCCCCAATGCAGCAAGGAGCTTGGCGGTAAGAGGCCTGGTTTAGGCACTGCCCCCGTCATTTTTATTTTATTTTAGGTACTTATTTTGTATCCCGCTTTTATTATTTTTACAAATCGCTCAAGGCGGCGAACATATCCAACGCACCTTCCTCCTTCTATTTTCACAACAATAACAACAACAACAACCCTGTGAGGTAGGTTGAGCTGAGAGAGAGAGGGACTGGTCCTAACTAATCCAGGTGGTTTTTGTCTGTAAGGTGGGACTAGAACTCACTTCCCCCGGTGATTGATTCAGCTGACTTTCATGCTTAAGGTGGGACTAGAACTCACTGTCTCCTGGTGATTGGTCCAAAGTCACCTAGCTAATTTTCAGGCTTAAGGCAGGACTAGAACTCACTGTCTCCTGGTGATTGGCCAGGAGTCACCTAGCTGGCTTTCAATTCTTAAGGCAGGACTAGAACTCACTGTCTCCTGCTGATTGGCCCAAAGTCACCTAGCTGATTTTCAGGCTTAAGGCAGGACTAGAACTCACTGTCTCCTGGTGATTGGCCAAGAGTCACCTAGCTGGCTTTCAATTCTTAAGGCAGGACTAGAACTCCCTGTCTCCTGGTGATTGGTCCATCATTTAGCCAGTGGGATTAGATTAAATTAAACAGCATATGTGATCTTAAGGACCCCGGGTACAAAGTAGTGATGAATGTAGAATGATGGCACCCGAAGGTTTTTAGCAGCCACTGGGGGCAATTTTTGGACACAAACCCGGATTAATCCCGGGTGGCCTTCTGTTGGTCACATGTGCTTGATGTGTCAGGCGCCAAGCATCAGGAATACACGTTTACTCCAGTTCATCTGAATTATTGCTCATGCCTAAATCAATAAAGAATCAGTCAACTAACAGTCAGCACTAAATTAGCACTAGATAAGGTGATTCATGAGGGGCTGGACAGACAGCTTGTGGGAATGTAATGACTCCAGATTGATTCCTCTCTTGACTCTGCCCCCAGACTCTGCCTCACCTACTCATTCCTTCCTTCCTTCCTTCCTTCCGTGCCCTCGTCACCTCTCATCTGGACTATTGTAACTCTCTCTACATGGGGCTCCCCTTGAGGTGCACTCGGAGGCTCCAACTGGCACAGAGTGCGGCCGCTTGGGTGGTTATGGGAGCAACGTGGAGTTCCCATGTAACACCTCTCCTGCGCGAGCTGCACTGGCTCCCGGTGGTCTTCCGGGCGCGCTTCAAGGTGTTGGTTACCACCTTTAAAGCGCTCCATGGCTTAGGACCTGGTTATCTACGGGACCGCCTGCTACCACCAATAGCCTCCCACCGACCAGTACGCTCCCATAGAGAGGGGCTCCTCCGGGTGCCGTCGGCCAAACAATGTCGACTGGCGGCCCCCAGGGGGAGAGCCTTCTCTGTGGGGGCACCTACTATCTGGAACGAGCTCCCCCCGGAGATACGGAGGATCCCGGATCTGCGCACCTTCCATCGTGCTCTCAAGACTTTCTTATTTCATCAAGCTGGCCTGGCCTAAATCTTCTCCCCTTTTTAAATGTAAATTTTAATTTGTTTTTAAATTATGGGGTATTTTTAAATTTGTCTCAGCCAAATTATTTAATTCGTTTTTATTCTATTTTAAATTTTTGTATTTATGTGTTTTATCCTGTGGCTGTTCACCGCCCTGAGTCCTTTGGGAGAAGGGCGGTATAGAAATTTAATTAAATAAAATAAAATAAATAAATTATTACCATCTCTATCCTTCCTTCTGTTATTATTCCCGTCCTTCCTTCCTTCCTTTCTTCCTCCCCCATCTTTCTTTCCTTCTTCTCATTCCTATCTCCTCCCTCCCTCCTCCTTTTCATTCCCATCTCCTTCCTTCCTTCCTTCCTTCCTCCCTCCCTCCCTCCTTCTTCTCATTTCCATCTCCTCCCTCCGTCCCTCCCTGCCATGCAAAGAATCAGGACCACATGCTAAGCTCCAGTTAAGCATCTTCATTGCTCATGCCTAAACAGAATAATCGAGTCAGCTAACGGTCAGCTCTAAATTGGTGCTAGTTAAGAGTCATTGGAATTGAAGACAGATCGGACTTAGCGCTGTTTGTGGGAGCGTAAGAGTTCCGGGCTGATTGCTCTCTTGACTCCACCTCCCCCCCGCTTCTTCTGACGTGTGGCTGTCTCTGAACTCAGACTGAACCTCTCCTTTTTTTCTTTTTCTTTTTCCAGAGCCTTAAATTGCCTGGGGACAATATTAATTTCATTGGATTTGCAATAAATGAATAATGAAAAATGTACTTACAGAAATTAATTTCCCAGATAGCAAAGTAGTTGCGCTTCAGGAGATTTCTTTCCTCTCTCTGCTACGTTGGTAAAAGGGTATCCGAACGACCCTTAAGAATTGGCATTTTTTTCCCCCCATTTGTCTTTTTTAGGAACATTTGGGAATTTGGGAGTTGATACAGGCAGTCCTTTTTTTATCACCTCTCACTTAAGAACCATTTGAAATTCTGACGGACGTATCTGCGAGTTACTTATGACCCAGTTTGCCCTTCCCCCCTCGTGGTCACATGACTGCACCGGCTTAGTGACCATGGATTCACTTAATGACTGTGATGATTTTCACTTAATAACTGCCACCCCAAAAAAAGTCATAAGGTTTGGACGGTGACAGAATTTTAGCAATCTTCATGAGTTATGACAGTGATATGACAGACTCCATGATGGTCAAAAGTCGAGGACTATCCATATATATCTGAATGATCAGGAGAGAATTTGATCTCTGAGTCTTGGTCTGAGTTCTCCTCCTACCCAGCTGCAACCACCAGTTTTGGTTGCATAGGTAGTCCTTGACTTACGACTACAATGGGAGTCCAGAAATCCGGTCATAAGTCATTGTTGTTATCAGTTGAGGCAGCCACATGGCTGGACGTGGGTGGATTTTTTTGACGTTTCTCATGGCAGTCATTAAGCGAATCACACTGTCATTAAGCCAACAGCCTGGTCATTAAGGGAACTGTTCTTCCCAATATGGTTTTGATGCCAGAAACCAACAAAAAATATCGCAAATCCTGGTTCCGTGACCACAGGATGGGGGCAACATTTTACAACGGCTAGAAACGCTTTACGGGGCCACACAGCACCTGTTCTGGGGGGCCATTGTAACTCCAAATGGTTGTAAAAAGGACCTGTCATAAATTGAGGACTACCTTCAGCTATAAGGTGGACATTAAACATGAGGAATCCTCCCTGGGCAGCTTCTGCTGAGGAGAGTTGTGTGACTTGTTAGGCAGTTACATGATAACACACAAACATATTCGCCTGTTCTTGCATTTCCATCAGGGGTGAAATCCAGCAGGTTCTGACAGGTTCTGGAGAACCGGTAGCGGAAATTTTGAGTAGTTAGTAGAACCAGCAAATATCACCTCTGGCTGGCCCCAGGAGTGGGGTGGGAATGGAGATTTTGCAATATCCTTTCCCTGGAGTGGGGTGGGAATGGGGATTTTGCAATATCCTTCCCCTGCCACACCACGCCCACCAAGCCACGCCCACAGAACCGGTAGTAAAAAAAAATTGAATTTCACCACTGATTTCCATGCTGCCCAATTTTTAACCTCTTGACTAGGATAATTCATTTTTCCTTCCGAATGTAGAAGACTTCTCTAATTCGGTTGATGAAATCATACGAACGTACAACCACAGGGCTCTTCTCATAGAAGAGAAAGAATATCAGAAGTTGGAAGAGACCTTGGAGGTCTTCTAGTCCAACCCCCTGTTCAAGATAGGAGACCTTATGCCAGGAATGTCAAACTCAGTTTCATTGAGGGCCGCATCAGGGCTGTGGTTGACCTTGGGGGGGGGAGGGCGGCAGAGCATGGCCGACTGGGTGGGTGTGGCCGACTGGGTGGGTGTGGCCAGCTTGACGCCACTCCCTGGACTTGGCCAGCTGGATGGGCGTGGCCAGTTTGACGCCACTCCCCAAACTGCTGGCATGTTTCTTCTTTGCGTTGGGTAGACCAGGCCGAAGTAATCCGGGCTGGCCCCTTACATTTTCCAGGACGACCCCTTGCACCAGATCCAGGGGTGAAATCCAGCAGGTTCTGGAGAACCGGTAGCAGAAATTTTGAGCAGTTCGGAGAACCGGCAAATACCACCTCTGGCTGGCCTCAGAGTGGGGTGGGAATGGGGATTTTGCAGTATCCTTCCCCTGTCACACCCACCTAACCACAGCACACCCACCAAGCCACACCCACAGAACTGGTAGTAAAAAAAAATTTGAATTTCACCACTGGCCAGATCCAACCACATCGTGGGCCTTGAGTTTGGCACCGTTGGGATAGATCAAAGCAATCGATAAGCCAGATTTCCAAAATGTTGGTTGCATATAACCGACCAGGTTAAAAAATCGGACTGGTCTTTCCCCTTACTCAGGGGCTTCTCTAATTGAAAATGGTTAAGCGGGCAAGTGTATTTCTGCCCGAGACCCTCAACCCATCCTATCCTTCATCAGCCAAAGCTGCTTGGGCAAGCAGGTCGGTCTCCATATATCACCGGGTGGGTGATAAGCTTAGATTGCAGGTTTAACTAACTAAAGGAATCAATATGGAGAATTATAGCTGCCGGGGTGCCAGTAAAGTTAAAGATCTGTCAGTAGCTATAAGCCACACTGAACAGTTAAACCCTCACGCTTTGCTTTGCGAAGGGACCGAATCTTTGCTGAACCATATTGGAGACTTAAGAGGAAGGAGGGGGGGGGAGAAAGAGAGAGGGGAGAGAGGGAGGGAGAGAGAGAAAGAGCGAGAAAGAGAGGGGGAGAAAGGGAGAAAGAAGGGGAGGGAGAGAGAAAAAAAGAGGGGCAAAAGAGAGAGGGGGAGAGAGGGGGAAAGAGAGAGAGAGGATGATGGGGATGGGATAAGTTTTCAGGACATGTAATTTAATTTTGCTTAATTTAAAGTTTTAGCACAATGATGGTGAACCTTTTTTTCACTCGGGTGCCAAAAGCATGCGCGTGCCCACACTCATAATTCAATGCCCC